TCCCTTAGATTCTAATTAGACAACATTTTCAAGAATGAAGCAATATCAAAATGACCTTCTTAGTATATTTCTCATTACCTTACGTACCATAATTTCCCTGTAGAATCAGCCTTCAGCTATTTCACGTAAACATCTGTAAATCAAATTCTGTTCGTTACATTACCATTTTATAATTAACATTATTGTCTTGGCTGACAGGTCAAACTTATATGAAACTAATTTCTCCGAAATAACAGTATGCTCCGTATGTGACGGAACGGTGCGGTATCTAATACGCTTTGTCCTACAAAATTCTCTTTAACATTTATACTCACTAAGTAAGCGTAAAGTGTACCCTTCTAATAAGACGATAGTAAAATACCAAAATAGCTATAATGTTCAACTAAAGGAGGTTATAACTACAATGACATGCTTAACAACAGTAACTAATTTCGATATGATAAATTGAACAGCCGTCGGCCTGATTTTTGAAGGCATCATGGTAACAGCGTGTTTTAACGACAAAAATAGTTGCAGGCATAAATAGGTATCTTTTATAAAGACGCAGCACATAAAGATAAGTCAGGCGCAACGACATCAAATTCCAGAAACGGCTTTCAGGCATCTTATTTACGGATCCTAAACAAAGACAGGGTTAAGAAATTGGTACAAGTCAAGAACCTGATGTAAATACACAGTGTGTATTTATGTAACAAATGCGTCAATAAGAACTTAAAAGTGAAGATCGAAAAAAAGCTAATCTGTGAAAAGTGAAGCTGTTGGCGCAGAAGATGTCTTCAGAAACTCAACTTCGTATTATACGCTGTCATAATATTGCATTGTCCTTGGGCAAGGCATCTGTTTGTCTCTCACCAATTCCACCGGAGTGGTCCCAGCATGTCAAATTAGCAAGAATTGTATTTACGTTAATATAGTCCCATGCGAATCTAAGTCACAACTATCGGAAACGCGGTGTAAACGGTAGCCTCAATTATTTAAAGGAATACGGTATATTAATTGGCTCTGTTAAGATGTCAAAAAAACCACAGTTAAATAGCATATTCATAATAAATAGTACATCAGTTTTTATGTAGTGCCAAATGCCAAGGCTATGCGCTTCACATTATTACCCTATTATTAGTTCAAACACCTACTAATCACATTATTACTTTCCTGTGGGAGTATTCAATGTTGTGAGAGCAAGTATTCAATTAGTCATCAGTGCATTTACGATCAAATCAACCAGATGCCCACGTACGTCTGGGACGAAGAGTCAACGTAAAGGCAATTACCCAAGGATACAAACAAGCAGCAATCATTGCCTCGGTTCCCTTCTTCCGAGCCTTAAAAAACGCAGTACACAGCGTCGGCATCGGTAACCGACGACGATTACATGTGTGCTTACGCGTGCGCGGCATCAATTTTCAACGACAATCCGACTTTGTGGTGGCTCCGGAAAATTGCCGACAGAGGTTCAACAAGTCCGAAAGAAGGTTTCCGAACCAATGGGCCCCATAAAACCTTAGTCAGGTTCCGAAAATCCATGGTGGGGTTCATGGGAAGATAGTTCAATAGTTTATGTTGGCCCAAAATTGTGCTTTTAGAGCACAATATTAGGGATCGGATTGCCGATCACAAGTTTGTTGGATCGGCGACTTAAATAGTCTAACGACGAGTGGTTCAAGTTTGCCCAAACGGGGAAAATTTCTCCTGATTCCCGATCCTGCACTGGCGCCGCCACTGGCCGATTACCATCGACGGTCATAGACATATGATCATACATACGGAACGTGGACGAATTCGTTAATGTTAAAGCAGACAAAATTCAGGGTAGGACAGGAGAAGAGAAACTCGAATACGTGGGCTGAGGAGTTCAACTGGTCATTGGAACTGCTAGAATTGTTAGGACCACAGATCTAAACAGAGTTTATGTTGGCCATATTGCCTTTGTTGAAAAAGTTTAGGTTGAGCATTTCTCGCCTCTATGATAAAGGAACCAAATACAAAATGAAGACCCATATCAGTGATTTAGAGGATAACTGATAATAAATAGACAATTTGACCACTTTATGCCCGGTAATACCAAATTATATTGTTTTTCAATTATTGATTCTGATTCAATTATCAATAGAGTCGGAGTCATCATAACATTTCACCTTCATCAAGTCAATCAAACTCTTTTTGAATAAGTATTTAATAATATTCCATACTGTAGCCATGAGGTGTGTAACATTCAAAGAAGAATCGCATATCTTCTTAAATGATATAACACGTAGGAAGTTGAAAGAAGAGATTGTAACTGAGAGTACTGTACATCCCGACTAGAATTGCGGTAGCGTCGTGCTAATTATCATATTAGTCATACAGTGTCCTACTTTCTAAACATATTATAAGCATCGAAAATATCATAATATTAGTTCTCTCCGAGAAGAGACCAAAGCGTTTGATTATCTATAACAGATACTACCATATTGTACCAATCGTTGATTCGATGTCGAATTATGAAACGTGGTGCTTACGCCTCAATCTCTGATGATTAGTGCAAAAATTTACTACAAACACGTAAAATAATTATAATAATGAGCGTTTATTTTTTTTTATTACTCAGTACTGTTTCGATTTTAATTGTTAGTCCTCTCCGCTAAGCGGGAAAGGACCAAAGCCTTTGATTATCTATAACAGATACTACCATATTATATCAATCGTTGATTCGATGTCGAATTATGAAACGTGATGCTTACGTCTCAACCTCTGATGATTAGTGCCAAAATTTACTACAAACACGTAAAATATAATAATGAGCGTTTTTTTTTATTACTCAGTACTGTTTCGATTTTAATTGTGCGGGAAATTTACTCATGAATATTACATTCATGTTGACTTGAACTTATTCAGTATTAAACAGATACAATGAATTGCAACAATACAAATTAATGAAATATTCAAATATGAAAAGTCCTATCTCCAAAGAAGTTTAAAAAAAGTGTATAATGCATGTATACTGTAGTATAGCTCATGTTGAAAAAACTAGTTTCCAATAGAGTTCTTAGAAATAATCCGCTCCATTATTTCATGAAGACATGTCCATGTAAACATCGACTGCGTTCCTAAACTTTAGGCAATGCCAATTGTTACACCAGTCTTAAACAAATTCCTAATTCTGTTAGTATGTCTGTAAGTATTCAAATTTAAAGTTATTCAATTAGGGAGAACATATAAAGTTCAGTATACATCTAAATAAAGTACAAAGTATAAGAAACGGCAAAAACTCAATAAAACTGACAATAGAATATACAATAGAATAACAAACTTCTCTACACCAGAAATGAAATTGAAATTATTTCAATCATAACCACGATCATGACTTAATCAATAAATATGAACATCAAAACATACAGAGGGCAGAAGGAGTTAAAGTAGAAAATCAAAGTATGCTGATGACACAGCATTTTTAGGCCTCAAATAGGAAAGTGAATTTAACTATAGAAACACAGTGTCATCCTTTGTTAATTGGTCTGCATATAACTACCTTAAAATTAACGAACAAATGACTAAAGGAGGATGGTAACGAGGCAGTCCCTGTGTTAATAAACAATGTGAAAATGGAGATTGCGGCGCACCATAATACCTTACAATTAATAATAATTTAAATTAGCGTGAGCAAGCCAACATCACTAGACTTAAAGGGAACTCACATCTTTAGTTTTTGAGAAAACTTAAATTTTTAAATGTTGGTAACACTATACTTAGTCTGTTCTGTAAATCGTTTGTTGAGAGTGTCACTATTTTTGGTTGTATTATATGGTTCAGTAGTTTAAGAAAGACGGATATTAATAACATTCAAAGTGTACTAAATAAGGTTGTAAATTAATAAATAAAGATATCTCTTTGAAGACTTACGCCGCCAAAGAATTTATAAGAACACCTTTGCCTTATAAGACCTTATAAGACGACGGAAATCATCTACTTTTGATTGAATTTAAATGGCTAAACTCAGGAATGAGATTACGCTCTGCTAATTGTTGCACCTCCAGATTTTTCAAATTCATCACAGTGATGCTCCATTAAAAATAAAACTCAATTGTCTATGATGTATTTTTAATTTAGTTTGCCATGTGTCGAAAACCAATCTTATTATTATTATTATTATTATTATTATTATTATTATTATTATTATTATTATTATTATTATTATTACAACACGCTTTTTCTCATACTTTTTAAGTTGTAATAAAGGCACGCGCACTCGAGTCGTGTATTATAAGAAATTCAGATGTTTGTGGGCGGAGGAAGAGTACCGGTTGGAGTATTTGGGAAGTATTTGAGATTTTTTGATTTTGTGGAATTAGTAGACGGTAGACGCTCTTGGATGGCATCTGAAAATTTAAACTTAAAATAGAAAGTATATGTTTTACGAGAGTACTACTGCATGTATACATGAGAAGCACACACACAAGACGAGTGACCATATTTTTTTTTCGAGGTCACCAAAGGGGGGAGGGGGGGGGTGGCTAGCCACCCTATTCACTCCCCTAGATCCGCCACTGAAAATAATCTTAAATCTTGAATCTTGAATCTTGAGAATACTCAATGATCATGTTGTTGTAAATCAGTATAAAATTAAAAAAAGTATAGGCCTACAGTAAATTAATTTACGTTTCATTAAAGCTAAGTATTATAATCAAAAACTTTCAAGCAGTAACTTAAAATAATTAAAGTTTTCGATGTTAATGCACACATCAAAATTAAGACTGGTGTAACAACAGCCAATGCCTAAAAAACACACACCGAAAAAATGTTGTTTAAATTTATCACATTAATTACAAGTTAGTTATTACCGATTTTAAGTTGAATAGGTTACCTTGTATACGATGATAACTAAAAAGTTGATAGTGGGCCCTCTATCGATGCCGCAGGGATTCAAAAGTCACATGACTGTAAGTTATTGAATAATAATTGCCCGGTGAAAATCAGCATTCATATGCCAGTGCACAGTGGTTAGCTAGTTAGTGTATGCTCGTAGTTCTACTTTATCACAGCTCGAATTGGATTCAAATCACTGGAATAATTGGACAGGTAAGACTTCAATTTAGTTGTATTTCACACGCGTAAGTTCAAACTAAATTTGTTTAATAGGCTAGGCGCGCCTTATTTATTTCATTTTCGTTGACATTTTTTATTTTATAATTTGATGGTTATTCTATACGCGTAGTTCTACTTTATCACAGCTGAAACAGGATTCAAATCACTGGAATATTTGGACAGGTAAGACTCCAAGTTAATAATAATTCACACGCCTAAGTTCAAACAAAATTTTCTATTTTTATGCTAGACGCGCCTTATTTATTTCATTTTCGTTGAAATTTGATTTTATCACATTGGTAGCATTTAACATATATCTGTCCATTAAAACTAACGATGACGTTAAGTTAAAAAAAATAAAATGGATTTTGACTTCTATCTTGGTTTTAAACTAATGATGCAGTAGACGTTACTCATAAGGAAGATAATGACAAATCATTAAAGGCAAAGCGATAATTTTGGTGTTACCACTATATGTAATTAAGCCATGCAAAATATCATTCCGATACCACAATCAATAATGTTATTGGTCCGTAATAGCGTAAATGTCGAAAAATAATTAATCTTCTCAACGAACAACTCGGTAGGATTATCATAACGATTTTCTTCATCAACGTAATCATGTTAGTCGTCTTTTTTTAATATAGGCCTACCATATCTACTAGTCAATAGAGGAAAATATAAACATACTCCTTTTAAGAAAAGGAAATATGTTTTTCTTTTGTCTCATTATCTCATTGTTTCGTCTTGACGTGGATGCACAACATTAAAAACGCTTGCAAGACATTTACAATGGAAACAAATTATGTCTTAAATTTTACAAATTGAAGAATTTTGTATTAGACCTATCATTACCATAATCTCATGCTAAATTTATCAGAGGTAACTTTTAGAATTTCCGGTAGTGTTTATTTGTGTTGCATAGATTTCTTTGAACAATTGACTTATCCGTAAACGTAAACGCAACACAATCGTAATTTCTTACCAGTATCCTGTCTGATCGCTAGTCGTTTCCACTAACCGCAATTTGTAAAAATATAGCAAAACGGTATTAACCCATCCTATCTTGTTTTGATAACGTGGTCTTTTATTTTTTCCACTATATATTTTATTTTGTTTGACATTTATGTATCTAGGAAAAGACATCCAAGTGAATTGATTTGTTCACTATGTCATCATGGATTATAAATACAGCGGAAAATGATTTTATTTTCGATTTGGATTTTTATTACATCGGGTTAAATTTAAAAAAAATCATATAATTATATAACTTAATACAATCTCATATGAGTTAATGTGACGCAACGATTATACAACATACGACCGGTCAATGAGTCAATTATGCTCAGACTTCGCTCTGTAAACCTTTTCATTATGCGCATCTTAAGTCTGATAAAGTGTTTCCTAAATTCCGACAGAGTATTTTAGCAAACCGAAGTTCAGAATTAGTTGATCAACATGGAAGCGTCATTCCATCCCACATGACAGTGATTCAATGGTACATTAATTCCTCTCCATTTCAATCTGGAAGATCATTGGATTCATGGCTTAACATTGGTGATCTGAATAATTGTGTACCGAATTCTCAATCTATAGACTCGTAATGTACGCATTACATAGGTGAAACATAGAGTTATACTAGTACACTTAATTTTTTTAAGTGTGTAGTCATCCGTAATCTGACAGGTTTTCCCAAATGGACCCTAACGCTAAGCCCCTCCCCTTTGATACTGTAGCTGTAAGGACACGCGCGTATTCTTGACACTGTTGTGATTGGTCAATTGTTAAGTTTGATTGACACTCAGGAAGGTCCATTCTTTACAAATTGTTGTATATATGTAAATATATTTACGTGCATGTGTCAGGTGTCAGGTGTTTAGTTTTCCAAGGTTTTAAAATATTCATTGCATATTTTACAAAGCCTTGAGAAAAAAAAACCTATCCTAAAGGCAAAATACAAGCATAATATCCAAGGAAGCAAGCCCGAATCTGAATCTGAATATACTAATATAAGCTTATAAGTCTTGCAAGAGTTACAGAACACTCGAACGATAATCGGAGTGCGTTGAAATCCCGAAGAGGACAAATAATTTTTATTTCTTCTTAAACATAACTGATGAAGGTCTGTTTTTCATAGATGGGTCGTGTCACACCACGAAAGGAGACCGATTTTCAATGTTCATTTGATTAAATTTCTCAATGCCTGGCTCCATTAAACGAGTCTTGACGTGTTACATTGGTTTATCAACATAATTGAGTTATTTATTTTATATAAATTTTAATCCTATTCTGTGATTGGTGATATAACCATATGTCTCCTTCTTAAGCAGTTCCGAACCGCATTCAGTGGATACCATATAACACATAACACATTTTATAAGAACACTGAGGCTACAAATTAAGATTAAGGCAAATTTTGAAGACAGATTAAGAAAGAAATTAAGACAAATTGAGGCTGAGGTAAAATGTCAAATGATTTTTTTTTAAACTAGAAAAACCAAAAAAATGTTATTTGTCCTTATGTGCAATAGGTGTGACTATGGAATACCGTCTATAATACAGTACAATAACAATTTCATGTGTTTGAAAAGTGTGTAAAAATAAGAAATAAAAATCAGAACATTTTGAGCATGAAATCGGCAAGCAAAAAAAAAAAAACAAAAAAAACAAAAACAAAACAAAAAACACACACACAATATGGGCAATATTTTATGGGTGCCTATAAAAAAGCATAACTCCGAAGGGAAGTAATGAAAAAAAAAAACAAACAAGAAAAAAAACCAAAAAAAAACCAAACAATTCACCACAGCATACCGTACACTATAACGTGAAAAATGGTGGCGTTTGTATAGCAAATGTAACATAGTATAATCATAGTATAATTGTGAGCATGTTCTTCTCAATAATCTTCCATTGTTGCTGAAGTTAATTCATATTTCCCAAAGAAACATGGGGAGACAAAATGAAATACTTCAGCTGAAAAGTAATCCTATCAGCGTGGCTCTCCAGTCACTGCACATAATCAAAGCAGTACAAATACAACGATAAAACACTTATTTAAAGTAAAATAATTTAGGCCAAAATATTACCATTGAATAAAAGGACTAATAACGAGATTTTAAAAATTAAAATAAGAAAATAAAAAACTAATTAAAATTAGGTCTTTAACCTCAGTTTGAATTCCTTACCAGAGAATCATTATACATAGAGATAACATTTTAAAACAATAAATATCAAAATGAATTTCATTAAACAAATCTTAACAATAAATACAGTACTAAGGTACAATCTCTGTTCCATAGTTGCTGCTCCAAATTCCAATTCAGTACAGAGGTTCTTGATTCTCCAGAGTGGTTTATTAATAACAGTAATATGTTGCTTATGGTGAGGAACCCAGGCAGGCGCAGCATAGAATTCTATAACGGGTCTACCCAAACCATTAAATAAACGTAAAAGTATAGTGGTGTCATAGCATCCAATATAAATATTAATAATCACAAAATAATGGTAAATTAATAAGCGCTTGAAATATGAATCGTTTGAGAAGAAAATATTAATTTAAAATGAGAGACAAACTGACAGTGTGGTAAAAGAAACAAAACATTAGTAACTTTCGTAAAACATATTACTGATGCTATGACGTTGTTAATATACTGCGAAATTTGTTTTAATACAGACATTTTTGCTATGATCATGCCTATCAATTATAAAATATCTTACATGAAATTTCTGGAAACTGTGGATATATAGGATAGTGTGAAGAAGTACAAAATGTGGATTGAATATGAGTTGAAATATGTAAGATTCCAAGTGTAATATTTTTTTAAAAATTTTTCATAACCTTTCTAATTTGCTCTACGTTTTTTCCCACACTCCCAAAGATCCTACGAATAGACTATTTTGTTCCCCTATGGGTCCCGAATCATCATTATGTCTAACTACCGGTATTTGATTATTTTAATTCTGCCAATATTTCAAAAAAGATTTGACTTTACATACGATGTTGATGCCGATGATTATGCTAAGTTGTACACGAAACCTTGTGAAATTGTTAAATTTTTTGTTTGTTTGTTTAAATTGTTAATTTATCATTTTATACTATGTGTGAAAATTGGTTGTTGGAACTTCGTTTTACTTATCAAATAATTGTTGGAATCCATGACGCACTAGAATTGTATTGATTCTTAAATTCAATATATCCAACAATGTACACACCACGTTCATCATCATTTCAGATGATTGGGGAGTTGCCCCGGTGTTTTGGTCCAGCCTCAACAGGGGACATGGCGAAAGCCTTTATACTGACTACTATGGGATCGACCATAAATGGAGTAGCAAATCACAGGAAACTTCTGCTGAGCACGTAGAGATTTTCACAAACATAAGTGTTATACAGGGATGAATGTCTGAAAAAAATCTCTTGTTACAAGCATTAACACCAGAAAACGTACATAATGACTTGTTATTTACATTTTGTCTAATGTTTTAGAAAAGGATATGGATCACTAGATCATTTAGACATTTTCAGTATGTACGAACTATTGTTTGTAATTTTTTATTGATCAATGAATATTTAAACTAGTCTTCAAAAGTTCTTGCTTGAAAAAAACAATTGTAAATGGGGATTAGTGTTGTAGTGCGTTGTCGTAGATTTTCTTTTTGACTCAATCCGGGCGATCCAGATACATTATTGGTTCGGTAGGATCAGAAATAAATTTATAGGTTTCATATTTATAAACTTTCTTAGTGTTGCTTTGAATGTCCTCCTTTGGTGAAAAATGTTGGATGAAAATTGATAGCATTGTATTTATTTAATAAGTGACATTGATGTCGTGATTTTATATTCGTTAATCGTTATTTTATTCTATTATTTTGGAAATATGTTTGCAGTGCCAGTATGGCCAAGACAATTAAAATTAAAACTAATAATATATCTAGAAAGGCACAAGTTATTCATCCAATTTTATTGTCCAATCTCTACCGTGCACTAGTTT